ACCCCACCCCCTCCATTTCTTTACAAATTGGACAAATTGGCTTGATCGAGATCTGAAGTAAATATTCAACAAGGTGACATGAAATGTGTTGTACACCGCTAAAAAGTTCGTAATATTTTTTTAATGTCTTTTATTTTTTACCTCCATAAAGGTCACTTCTTCAAAGCATACGAAAAGAAACACGACCACAAAATGCATGGCATTAAAAGAATATAGATCTAGAAAGAAAAGCGAAATGATACATACAAATTAATAAAACTGGATTGTGGGAAATAACCCAGGGGGAAAAGTATGTAAAAGGAGAAACACTCGTCCACATATTGAACAAATGGCCATCACGAGACGGGCTGGCAGATGATAAACGTTTACTTCTGAGAATTACCTTAAGGGGTTTCATAGAAAAATGTGCCACAGGGAGCTAGGCGAGCCTGGCAAGATAGATACATGGACAGACAGACAAACAGACAGACAGACAGACAGACAGACAGACAGACAGACAGACAGACAGACAGACATGCAGACATGCAGACAGACAGACAGATAGAAATTTTTGCACGACAATAGACATGAAACATCAGTGTATGAAACGCAATTGAAAAAGAAACATGAATTGGAAAGCTTTTTAGAAAAAGCTGGCCTTATAATAAATTATTTGTCAAAAACAGAAATGTTGCGATTAGCACCAGAAACTGTTCCCATCATTCTTGATGACAAACATTTGGGAGGGGAGAAAGTAATAAATTCAAATACCATTGCAGATTAATCTCTAAAACTGCACTCTGCATGGACGACATCTATCATAGATTAAAAAATGCATGGGTCGTTTTTGTAAGATTAAAACGATTATTTCATCTCATTGAAGACTAAATTAAACATACACAATACCAATGTCTTGGCTGTACTGATGTGTGGTTTAGAGATTTGGAAAACAAGCAAAACAATTCAACAAAAATAAACAAGGTTTCAAAGGTTTCGAAAAAAATAAGCAAAATGGAATGAATTTATCACAGGTAATTTATCACACAAAATGGAGTATTGGAAAGAGCTGGATTGAAGATATCAACACGACCAAAAAAGACGAATATGGAGATACATGTATTTGGGACATGTTTTGAGAGCGCCAGAGACTAGAGTGCCCAATCAGACATAGGCCTCGTACATGTATTGGATATCAAATGAAAAAAAGAAGAAGGGGTAGTTCTTGGAGTAGGCCTACAACCTTGGATGAGGAAAGTTCTCAGGGCTTGGACGTGTCAAACATAGAGAAAGTGGTCAGGAACAAACAAGCGTGAGGTCGACTGATTGCTGTCTTGTGTAGCTTACCCGGCGGTGCAGGGGAAGAGCACGTAAGGAAGGAAGGAAGGAAGGAAGGAAGGAAGGAAGGAAGGAAGGAAGGAAGGAAGGAATTAAGGAAGGAAGGAAGGAAGAAAGAAAGGAAGGAAGGAAGGGGAATCAGCACAAAAAAGCCCAACTTCTTTTTCAGTAGAAGTTACAACTAAAGAGCAGCCATAATTTGCAGGTGGAATGGAAAACCAAAAATTGTACACCATTTAGGATACATAGACTCAACCATCACCATCTCCGCTAGCTTTATATTAAGCGCCTAAACAGCTTAGTTTTGTGTCAGAAACCCAGTGGACCCCACCAACCCATCCGAAAAAAACCCAACAAATTGATTTAAAAAACCCAAAATAAACACACAAACAAACAAAAACAAGAAAAAGAACAAACAAACAAACAAAACGAGGATTATGAAAAGCGGAATCGGGGGCTCTCGTGGCCTAGAGGTTGAGGTGTTGGCCTCTCATTCAAAAGGTCCCGGGTTCGAAACCGGGTGGCGACCGAAAAATTTTCTTATCTAAATCTGTCTCCTTTCACCTCATTTCCTGATCTCTAGCAATGTTCTGTCGTCTGCTTTCGTCTCCTTTTTCTGTCCCCAACCCCTCACCTCCTTTGCCCCTTCCTCTGGGCTCCTGATTACTTCTGCAGCCTTTCTAGTGCTACTCCTTCGCTTCTTCTTACTGCTGTCTTTCAGCCACACCCCTGATCTTCTGGTAGGAATAATCTACACCTAGCCTTCTCGGACAAGGGCGAAACATATCGGAGGGCCCGTGTGCAAGTTGCGCACGTTAAAGAATCCTTGGTGGTCTAAAATCGATAAGAGTAGGCTTCGGCCGCCACCCAGGCAAAATTCAAAATTTCCTACCAACTGAAAACATTAGGTGTGTCCCGCGCGCTCATTTGACCGTATGCAGTTGCGAGCGCCGTAAAACACTTTACAAAAACAAAACAAAAGCGGAATCAAAACCAACGCTTTCGAAAACAGCACAATAGTATGCGAAGAAAAGGAAAAGAGCAAAAAAAAAAAAAAAAAAGAAGAAGAAGAAGATGAAGAAGAAAATCTGTTGTTGGGCATCAATAAATTATAGACCTAGTTTTTTAACAGAATATTATAAACACGCCAATGCTTTTAAAAATCAACTAGAAACAGTCAAAACAA